TCCGAGCGAGCCAAATCGAACACGGTTTGTGTCCTTTTTAAGGGCATATGCCGCGGCAATAAAAGCCGCAAAGAAGGCCTTCTTTGCGGCCACTATTGCGTCTGCAAAGAACCGTCCGGCTGAGCTGTTCCGAATTGTCAGAGGCCTTTTAAATCCCACCACTCAAGGTGGGAACCCTGACGATTCGACTTCTCGCTGTGAAGCTTTTGCTCAGTTCTTTGCAGACAAAGTCGCTTTGATCCGTTCTGGTCTGGATACCATGTTAATGGCAGTCTCTGAGGATGTAACACGAGCACCTGCTTGTCCAGTTTTGATGGATTCATTTCAATTGGTGAAACCCGAGGATGTGGACAAGATACTTGGAGGAATGAGGCCAACCACATGCATCCTGGACCCCTGCCCATCCTGGCTTCTAAAGGAGGCCAGAGGGGGATTGGCTGAGTGGGTTAAGGTGGTGGTTAATGCTTCCCTTCGGGAAGGCAAGATTCCAGCGAGCTTAAAACAAGCTATAATAAAACCGCTGTTGAAGAAACCATCACTGGACCCCACTAAATTCGACAACTATCGGCCAGTTTCCAATCTCCCCTTCTTGGGCAAAGTCTTGGAACGTGTGGTGGCCTCACAACTCCAGGTATTCTTGGTAGACACGGATTATCTAGACCCGGCACAGTCTGGCTTTAGGCCGGGACATGGTACCGAGACAGCCTTGGTCGCCTTAGTGGATGATCTGCGCCGGGAGCTCGATAGGGGGAGTGTGTCCGTTGGTGCTGCTGGACCTCTCAGCGGCCTTCGATACCGTCGACCACGGTATCCTTCTGGGACGCCTCGCACGGGGATGGGTCTTGGAGGTACTGTTTTGCAGTGGCTCCGGTCATTCCTGGAGGGTCGATCTCAGAAGGTGTTGTTGGGGGACACCTGTTCAACCCCACAACCATTGTCTTGTGGGGTTCCTCAGGGCTCAATATTGTCTCCCATGTTGTTTAACATCTACATGAAGCCGCTGGGGGAGATCATCCGGAGTTTCGGGTACGGTGTCATCTGTACGCGGATGATGTCCAACTCTGTCACTCCTTTCCACCTGCTACTAAGGAGGCTGTCCAGGTCCTGAACCGGTGCTTGGCCGCTGTGACGGTCTGGATGAGGGCGAACAAATTGAAATTGAATCCAGACAAGACAGAGGTACTCCTGGTCAGTCGCAAGGCCGAACAGGGCATAGGGTTACAGCCTGTGTTGGATGGGGCCGCACTCCCCCTGAAGACGCAGGTTCGCAGCTTGGGTGTGACCCTGGACTCATCGCTGAGCCTGGAACCCCAGGTTTCGGCGGTGACCAGGGGAGCATTTGCACAGCTAAAGCTTGTGTGCCAGCTGCGCCCGTACCTTGGGAAGTCTGACTTGGCCACGGTAGTCCACGCTCTGGTTACATCCCGTTTAGACTACTGCAATGCTCTCTACGTGGGGTTGCCTTTGAAGACAGCTCGGAAGCTCCAACTAGTCCAACGCTCGGCAGCCATGATTTTAACAGGAGCGGAGCGCAGGGAGCATACAACCCCCCTGTTGCGCCAACTCCACTGGCTACCGATCTGCTACCGGGCTGAATTCAAAGTGCTGGCGTTGGCCTTTAAAGCCCTAAACGGTTCCGGCCCAAGCTACCTATCCGACCGCATCTCTGCCTATGAACCCACCAGGACTTTGAGATCTTCCGGGGAGACCCTGCTCTCGATCCCGCCTGCTTCTCAAGCTCGGCTGGCCGGGGACGAGAGATAGGGCCTTCTCGGTGGTGGCTCCTCGGCTGTGGAACGCCCTTCCTACGGACATTAGACTAGCACCATCTCTAATGGTATTCCGCAAAAGGTGAAGACCTGGATGTTTGTGCAGGCGTTTGAGTAATTTAGTGCAATCTGGTAATGGAACATAGGAATGGAACAATGGACGACGAACCTGGACTACGCTTGGATGATGAGAAGATTGGGTACGGTTGTTTTTTGTAATAACTGTGCATTGTAATTGCTTATTGGTAATTTATGGATAATGTGTTAAGTCAATTGTTATATGTTGTATGGAACCACTGCTGTTTCTACTGTTTCTACTGTTTGTGAACCGCTGTGAGTCGCCTTCGGGCTTGAGATACAGCGGTATATAAGCAAAGTAAATAAATAAATAAATAAATTGTTAATATTTGCTTGAGATAGTGCTTACAGTTCTGGAGGGACTCTTAATTTTTTGCATCTCATGGACTTAGCATGGGGATTTTGTTAACCAGTTAAAATTCATGAGTAAACCAGGCTTTTAAAAAAAAATCTGAAACATTTGGGGGGGGGGTTGAACCCCTAAAACCACCCCCTCGCTACAGGCCTGGGTCTTAGGGTGCATCTACATTGTAGAATTAATGAAATTTGATATCACTTTAACTGCCTTAGCTCAAAGCTATCGAGTTTGGAATAGAGACATGAGCAATCTTGGACAGAGAAGGCTCAAGACCTTGTAAAACTGCAACCCCCAGGGTTCCACAAAACTAAGATCCTTTGACACTGCCATATAATCCCGTTCAAAGCAGATAATCTGGGTTTTATAGGGCAGTGTAGAAGAGGCCTGAGTCACAGCAGTCCAAGTGGTGTCAGGCTGCATTAATTCAACAACGTAGATGCACCTTGATATGAATCCAGTTTGGCGAAAACCAGTAGCCGAAAGCGGGTAAGGATGAGAGAGCATTGTGGAGGAAATCCCCAGCATTTGCTGTTTTGCAGGACTCTCCCACCCCATCAAACAAACAGACGAGGAATTTGTGAAAAATAGCAAGGCAAGGAAGTTTCTTAAGCTGGTCTGTTCTTGATAGGGCTTATCTCCCCTTCACCCTTTGAAGAGTTGCAAATAATCTGTTGAGCACCTTGGATCTCCCAGTGAAGCAACTGGAACAGGTGAGAGAGGGCAATGATTGGAAAGAGAGCCAAAAGCCTCCCTCTAGAATGCATCTACACTGTAGAATCGATGTGGTTTAGCACCACTTTTAACTGCCATGGCTCAATGCTATGGGATCCCGGGAGTTGTAGTTTGACATGGTCTTGGGTCTTCTCTGCCAAAGGATTCGTTAGCAAGGAAATGGTACACACTAGCCTATTTATACAAGGGGTATTGATTAAAGATTTCCCCACTTCCTGTGGACTGAGAGCAATGAGACTTGGCCCAGTTGTGAGTGCTTCTCTCCATGGGTGCCACCTCGGGACACACACTCCTATCTTTTTAAACAACTGTAAACACCTCACTTGTAGAAGTCGACAGGTTGCTCCAAAAGCCACATTGTGAGTTTGAAAATCAGGGTCTCATCACCTGAAAAATGCTTGCCCTTCAAAAATAACTTTCTTGTTGGAAAGAGGTGGAAGTCTGATGGTGCGAGGTTGGGTAAATCACGGGGATGCGGGAGGATTTCAAAGCCACGGGAGCATACTTCTTCCGTTTCGGCAACAGGTGAATTGTGAAGAGATGCGTTCTTCCAGTAGGCGGACACCTTTGGAGAGCATGTCACACTGTCTCTTGGTTTGGATGGCCTCTCACAATTTCCACAGCAGTGAAGCCTAGTATGCGCCAGTGATCGTGGTCCCCTTTGCTAGGAAATCTATCCATCCTACTCCATGCTGGTTCCAAAAAACTCTGAGGATGACCTTGCCTGGCACGAGTTGGGCATGTGCCTTCTTTGGAGGTGGTGAGTCAGGATGCTTCCATTGCATCGACTGGACTTGAGTCAGGATCAGAGTGATGGACCCAGCTTTCATCCTGTATGATCAGTCTGTTGAAAAAATCCTCTTGGTTTCCCTGGCACATCATGTCAAGAGAGCCTGAGAGCTCTCTTGAGAGCTCACACCTGCTTCTGGAAAGGTGTGAGCAGCCGGGGGACCCAGAGAGAGGACCCCTTATGCATGAGAAGATGGTCGTGGGTGATTTTTTTCTACAGACCCCACACTCATCTTGACATTTTGGGCTAGGTGGAGAATGGTTACACCGTGATTTTCCAAAATGTCAACCTCCACTTTCTGGTTCATCAGTAGCAGAGTGGGGTCGCCCTGGAATGGGAGCTGTTTCCACCTAAGTCCGACCACATTAGAATTGGGTTGTTGTAGGTTTTTTGGGCTATATGGCCATGTTCTGGAAGCATTCTAGACCCATATAGGCCAAAACACCTACAACAACCCAGTGATTCCAGCCATGAAAGCCTTCAACAATACATATTTGAACTGACGCCAGTTCTCGACTCCATCATATGACAGGGAATCTTCACCATAAATCTGTTTCATCTCATGGAACATCTCCTTTGGTGCACAGCCTTTAAAGTAGAGGAACTTGGTGACTGCTCTGTATTCCACTGGGTCCAGTCTCAAAATTCACACCCCTTAAGCACCTTTAGTAAAATCATGACTGTTATCAGTGCAGAGTTGTAAACCGGCACGTAACCTATAGTGATTTATATCATTGTTGTTATTGTTGTTCTTTCGTTCAGTCGTTTCTAACTCTTTATGACCTCATGGACCAGTCCACACCAGAGCTCCCTGTCAGCCTTCACCACCCCCAGCTCCTTCAAGGTCAATCCAGTCACTTCAAGGATGCCATCCATCCATCTTGCCATTGGTCGGCCCCTCTTTTTTTTTCTTTCCATTTTCCCCAGCATAATTGTCTTCTCTAAGCTTTCCTTTCTTCTCATGATGTGGCCAAAGTACTTCATCTTTGCCTCTACTATATTTGCCTCTATTATATCATTACAGATGTGCAATTTCAGCATCCTGTGATCAATAGAAGTGGGTCAGGGGAAATCTTTAATGAGTGCCCCTCGTACAAGAATTGGGGAGGTTTCTTCCAAGTCTTTTGAGGCAGGGACAAGGGCTTCCCTGGTGGCCCCCTCTTTTGGGATCCTTACCTGGAAGCCCTCCCTTTTGCCCACGAAAGGGGCGTGGTCCAAGAGCAGCCCCTCCTCGGACAGCGGTTGGCTGGAGGGACGAAAAGCCCATGCTAATAAGTCGAGCGCTTTATCCCACCTGCTGCTCTTCAGCCACCGGCGAAACTCAACTTGCCTTGCCTTCCTTTGCCGGGGGACTGGGCTCCTTCTGCTGCCATGCCAAGGTCCTTCCTGGTCAAGAAGCCTTCCAGCACCAAAGTGCCCAACTATGGGCAACTGGAGACCCGCCACCGAGGTGAGTCTAGCCTTCCTCTCTTCGTGCGCCTTTCTTCCTGCGCCTTTGGAGAGGAGCTCCCTCTTCTCCTCTTTGCGCTTTTTTGAGGGGACCCCCACTCCCCTTCCCTGGCCCCTCCTGCTCTGAGGGAGCCCCTCTACAACGCCAGGAGACCTTCCTAGGTAAGGAAGGCTCCAAGGCTCCAAAGTCTTTTGTTATGCGCCTTCAAGTCGCCTTTGGAGTTAGGGTGACCCTTGGATTTCAAAGGCAAAGAAGACTCAAGAGATAGCCTTCCAAGCCAACTTCCTCTGAACTAGAACTTTAGATATCTTTGGTACTGCTTCCGAGCTTGGGGAAAGGGGCTTCCTTGTGGACTTCCAGCCCAGGAAAGTCTTCTGGGAGGGACAGAATATCTCCTTGGGAGTTTATGGTCACAAGGCTTTCTCTGGCTTTCCAAATCCTTTCCTTTGAAATCCATGGCACTTGGGCAAGGCTTTTCTTTTTACACTCTGCCTCTTTTTGGACTTTTTCGCTTTGTTGGTTGGGGGAATCTGGGAGGGACAGTCCAAAGTGGGCCCATTCCCTCTGCTCTGGAAGTCCTAGCCTGCAGCATTTGGAGGAAAACACCCCTCTTCTTCTTACTCTTACTCTTCTTTTTCTTCTTCGTCTTCCTCCTCCTCTTCTTCTTTCCTACTTTCTCTTAAAAGAGATTCAAAGTTCAGATCCTCTGTGCCTTCATACCTCCTATTGACTTTTGACAAACTCTGTGAATTTCAGAGCGTTTTCTTAGGCAAGAAAGGCTCACATGTGGGTTTCCAAGTCCCTCGTTTCTGAAAGCAAGCTTCTGAAATCCTGGGTATTCCTTCCGCACTTGAGGAAGGGTCTTCTATGTGGACTCATTGCCTCTTTTTGGACTTTTTCTCTGCTGGCTGGAGGAATATGGGAGTAACAGTCCAAAAAGGGCCAATTCTCCTCGCTTTGGAAATCCTAACCTACAGTATTTGAAAGGAAAATACACTTCTTCTTCCTCTTCCTTCTCTTCTTCTTCTCCTTTTCCCCATTTTCTCCCCTTAAAAGAGATTCAAAGTTTAGCTTCATGTCTCCTGTTGACTTGTGACAAACTGAATTTCAGAGGGTTTTCTTAAGCAAGGAAGTCTCACAGGTTGGTTTCCATTAGTCCCTTTTTTTTTTAAAAGCAAGCTTCTGAAACCCTTGGCAGTCCTTCTGCACTTGGGGAAGGGTCTTCTTTTTTGGACTCTTTGACTCTTTTTGGACTTTTTTGTTCTGCTGGCTGGGGGAATCTGGGCATGACAGTCCATAAAACGGCCCATTCCCCCTGCTCCGGAAGTCCTAACCTGCAGCGTTTGGAAGGAAAATATACTTTTTCTTCTTTCTCCTTCTRTTCTCCCCCCCCCCCCCCTTCTCCTCTTAAAAGAGATTAGAAGTTCAGATCCTGTGTGCCTTCATGTCTCCTCTTGACAAACTCTGTGAATTTCATAGTTTTCTTAGGCAAGGAAGGCTCACAGGTGGTTTTCCAAGTCCCTCTTTACTAAAAGCGAGCTTCTGAAATCTTTGGCATTCCTTCTGCACTTGGAGAAGAGTCTTCTTTTTGGACGCTTTGCCTCTTTTTGGATTTTTTGGCTCTGCTGGCTGGGGGAATCTATGTATGACAGTCCATAAAACGGCCCATTCCCCCTGCTCTGGAAGTCCTAACCTGCAGCATTTGGAAGGAAAAGATTCCTTCTCCTCCTCCTCCTCCTCTTATTCTTCCTCTTCCTCCTCCTCCTCTTCTTCTTTCCCACTTTCTCCTCTTAAAAGAGATTAAAAGTCACAGGCACAACTTGTGGGAACAGGGAGAGAGCCTTTTCCACTGTGGCCCCCGGCTATGAAACTCGCTACCTGGTGAGATTAGGCAAGCCCCCACCCTAGCAGCCTTTAACAAAGATCTAAAAACTTGGCTTTTCCGATGTGCCTTTGGAGAGTGGCCATATATTCCAGTCCTGTTGTTTAACCTACACTGTTTCCCTCATATTGCACTTTCCCCCACCTTATTGAAAGTCTAATTCCACTGTTCAGTCCCCTATGAGCTCCTCCCCCACAAATGTACCTTTTCATTGCTATCTCATCCAGAGTTTTATCATTTTATGTCATGTATTTGGCCCGCCCACTGTGTTTTATTTTCCATTATGTTATTTTGTAAGGTTAATTTAACCTGATTGGTTTATTTCTTTTATTATGATGTTATTTTGTTGTTTATATTTTATTTTGCTGTAATGTATCGCTGGGCTTGGCCTCATGTAAGCCGCTCTTGAGTCCCCTTTGGGGAGATGGTGGTGGGGTATAAATAAAGATTATTATTATTATTATTATTATTAAAAATTCAGCTCCTGCGTGCCTTCATGTCTCCTGTTGACTTGTGACAATCTCTGTGAATTTCAGAGGGTTTTTTTAAGCAAGAAAGGCTCACGGGTGGGTTTCCATTAGTCCCTCTTTTCTAAAAGTGAGCTTCTGAAATCTTTGGCATTCCTTCTGCACTTGGGGAAGGGTCTTCTTTTTGCACTCTTTGCCTCTTTTTGGACTTTTTGGCTCTGGGAGTGACAGTTCGGAAAGGACCCATTCCCCCTGCTCTGGAAGTCCTAGCCTACAGCGTTTGGAAGGAAAATACACTTTTTCTTCCTTCTCCTCCTTCTCTTATTCTTCCTTTTCTTCTGCCCCACTTTTTCATCTTACAAGAAATTCAGGGTTCAAATGCTATGTGCTTCCGTGTCTCCTGTTGATTTGTGACAAACTCATGGAATCATAGAATCCTAGAGTTGGAAGAAGTCTGGTGGGCCATCCAGTCCAACCCCATTCTGCCAAGAAGCAGGAAAACCGCATTCAAAGCACCCCCAACAGATAACCATCCAGCTTCTCCTTAAAAGCCTCCAAAGAAGGAGGGAAAACAAACAGCATAACCAGGATTCTGAGATTTGTAGTCTAAAATAGTAATATTTCCAGGTTCTATTCAGGAATCTCCGCATCCCTAACAGTTTGTAAGCACCCTGAAAGTTTAATCCTTTCACGCTCTAGGAAAATTGGTCATTGTTTGCTAGATAGTTTCCATGCTTAACCTTTCCCTCTCCGTTGATAAAGAATGTAAAGACAAGAGGCATAGCATGCAGCTATTTTAAAAATGCCAAGTGACACTTGTATTGCATGGCAGCATGTTTGAGTTTGCATTATTCATCAGGGTCAGATCAGGAATCGTGGGGCGAAGGAATGACAGCTTATCATTTCAAAGCAATACTTAAACACTGTCCAGAACAGCCACAAACTTTTCCAAAACCTGGGGCCAAAGTGATGCAGCCTAGAAGCATGTTGGCCTTTTAAGCTGCCGTATCACACTCTTGACTCATGTTCAGCTTGTGGTCCGCTAAGACTTCTAGATCCCTGTCACAGGAATTATTTTCAAGCCAGGCTATTTCTGAGTTGCTGTGAGTTTTTTGGGCTGTGAGGCCATGTTCCAGCAGCATTCTCTCCTGAAATTTTGCCTGTATCTGTGGCCAGCATCTTCAGAAATCTGTTGCCATTTTTTTCATGTCGGGAGCAACTGGAGAAACTACAAGTCGATTCTGGTGTGAGAGAATTGGCCGTCTGCAAGGACATTGCTCAGGGGACGCCTGGATGTTTTACCATCCTGTGGGAGGCTTCTCTCATGTCCCTGCATGGCAAGCTGGAGCTAACAGATGGGAGCTCACCCTGCTCCCTGGATTCGAACTGCCGACCTTTCAGTCAGAAGTCCTGCCAGCACAAGGGTTTAACCCATTGCACCACCAGAAGCTCATCCTGTTGGCAGTGAGGCAAATTGTGTGTGTGTGTATTCATACACAAATACATAAACTTGTGGAATGTCCAGGGTGGGCAAAATAACCCTTGTCTGTTTTATAGCAAGTGTTCATGGTGCAATTTGCAAACTTGATTAGCATTGAGTAGCCATGAAGCTGCAAAGTCAATGTGTGAGAGTATCTGCATAAGAGGTAGTCTGGGCTTTGTTGCCTGGAAGCATCCTCATTGGTACTTGATTGTGCAGATACTCTCACTGATTGACTTTGCAGCTGCAAGGCTACTCAATGCTAATCAAGATTGCCACATTCACACTTCAGACAGACAATGTCACCGCCATGGACGTTCCATCCATATGTGTGTGTGCGTGCACACACACACACACACACACCTCACTTGCCTCATTTCCAACAGACCTCTGAACAAACCTCTGAGGATGCTTGCCACAGATGCAGGCAAACTGTCAGGAGAGAATGCTACTGGAACATGGCCATACAGCCCAAAAAACTCACAGCAAATCAGTGATTCCAGCCATGAAATCCTTCGACAAGACATATTATATCTGTTCATTTCATTGGGTTGTTGTGATATTCCAGGCTGTCTGGTTGTGTTCCAGAAGCATTCCTTCCTGACATTTCACCCACATCTATGGCAGGCATCCTCAGAGGTTGTGAGGTTTGTTGGAAACTAGGCAAGTGAGGTTTATATATCTGTGAAATAATTTCCAGGGTGGGAGAAAAAACTCTAGTCTGTTTGAGGCAGGTGTGAATGTTGAAATGGCATTTAATGACATAGCCATTTCAAGGTCTGGCTTCTTACTGCCTGGGGGAATCCTTTGTTGGGAGGTGATTAGCTGGCCCTGATTGTTTCTTGTCTGGAATTCCCCTGTTTTTTAGTGTTGTTCCTTATTTACTGCCCTGATTTTAGAGTTTTTTAATTACTGGTATCAGACCTTGAAAGGGTTGGACCATTAAATGCTAATCAAGATGGCCATTGCAACATTCATACCTGCCTCACAAGAGTTTTTTCTCCTACCCTGGAAATCCACAGATATATAAACCCCACTGCCCTAGTTTCCAACAGACCTCACAACCTTTGCCATAGATGTGGGTTTTTGGGTTTTTTTTTGTCGTGTCAGGAACGACTTGAGAAACTGCAAGTCGCTTCTGGGGTGAAAGAATTGGCCGTCTGCAAGGACGTTGCCCAGGGGACGCCCAGATGATTTTGATGTTTTTTATCAATAGAATCATAGAATCAAAAAGTTGGAAGAGACCTCATGGGCCATCCAGTCCAACCCCCTGCCAGAAGCAGGAATATTTATTTTTGGATAATTTTGTAATATTTGGCCTAGTTTGAATCCAGAAGAGGACAAAGAGGCCAAACAAAAAACAAAAACAGTTCCCACAACCTTCCAGCAAGAATAGCTGAAAGATTTGGGGAGAAATTGCCAACCAAAAACCACCAACCGAAAACTGCCACCAATTAGAATAACATAGAATCAAAAGAGACCTCATGGGCCATCCAGTCCAACCCTGCCAAGAAGCAGGAATATTGCATTCAAATCACCCCTGACAGATGGCCATCCAGCCTCTGTTTAAAAGCTTCCAAAGAAGGAGCCTCCACTACACTCCAGGGCAGAGAGTTCCACTGCTGAACGGCTCTCACAGTCAGGAAGTTCTTCCTCATCCCTGTGGGAGGCTTCTCTCATGTCCCCGCATGAGGAGCTGGAGTAGATAGTGGAGAAGAGTCGATGTCAGGAGAGAACGCTTCTGGAACATGGCCAGACAGTCCGGAAAACTCACAACAACCCAGTGGTTCCAGCCATGAAAGTCTTCGACAATACGTTGTTTATTCCATTGTTATAATTGCCATGTGTGTTTTCTGCTCAGAATCCCATGGATCGTCTCCATCGTGGAGGGAGGTAGCATCTCCTTTCCTCACTCAGGATGCCTCCATATCTCCAGCGACAGGACCTTGCAAGGCAGATAGTCCATGGGATCGCAGCTCGGTCATCGCTTGCCTGTCTCCTCTGCAAAGCATGGAGACAAAAGGGGAGCCTGGTTTGAACCCCCAAGTTGGCATCATGGAAGGCACAGAAGGCAAGTTTGTGGCCACTCGTCTCAGGGACCACCAGGACAACCTCACCCTGCCCCACAGGAGGACTCCCAATGTGGGCAGCCCGGCGGAAGGAGACGCCAGCGTCCATTTGGGGGAACCAGGGACAGCCACCGAACCCCGGAGTCCTTTTGAATGTCCGGACTGTTGCAAGGCCTATGGCACTTTCGGAGGCCTGTCGCGGCACAGGCAGCAGCACTGCAAGACATTGGTGGCTGCAGCAGCCAGGAGGTATTTCAGCTGCAAGTCCTGCGACAAGGAATACGCCAGTTTGGGTGCCCTGAAGATGCACATCCGGACCCACACCTTGCCCTGCGTCTGCAAGATCTGTGGGAAAGCCTTCTCCCGACCTTGGCTGCTACAGGGACACATCCGGACCCACACAGGTAGGATGGATCCTGGGTCTTTAGTGAATTCCTGCATCAGTGTCTCAACCTTCGTAATGCTGTGACCCCTTAATACAGTTGTGCTGTATTAAGGGGATAACTCATGTTGTGGTGACCCCCAACCATAAAAATAATTTTCATTGCTACTTCATATCTGTGATTTTGCTACTGTTATGAATCGTAATGTCAATATCTGATATGCAGGATGCATTTTCATTCACTGGACCACATTTGGCACAAACACCCGATTCGCACAAATTTGAATACAGGTGGGGTTGGGAGCGGGGTTGATTTTGTCATTTGGGAGTTGTAGTTGCTGGGATTTATAGTTCACCTACAATCAAAGAGCATTCTGAACTCCATCAACCATAGAATTGAACCAAACTTGGCAGACAGAACTCCCCTGACCAACAGAAAATACTGGAAGGATTTGGTGGGCATTGACCTTGAGTTTTGGAGTTGTAGTTCACCTACATCCAGAGAGCACTGTGGACTCAAACAATGATGGATCTGAACCAAACTTGGCATGAATACTTAATATATCCAAATGTGAATGCTGGTGGAGTTTGGGGAAAATAAACCTTGACATTTGGGAAAGTTTGGTTCAATTCCGTCATTGGTGAGGTTCAGAATGCTCTTTGACTGTAGGTGAACTATAAATCCCAGCAACTACAACTCCCAAATGTCAAGGTCTATTTTCCCTAAACTCCATCTGTGTTCATATTTGCTCTGGTCACTCTCTGGAATGGAGAGATGGCTAGGGCAATAGACACAATTGCTCCAGAATGGCCCCTCTCAAGTAGCTGAGCTAAACCATCTCCTTGGTTTTTAAATTGTATGTGATACTATGTATACTGTTTTGTTGGAAACCGCCTTGAGTCGCCGATAGGCTGAGAAAGGCGGTATACAAATAAAATAAAATGAATAAATAAATATTTGGGCATATGGAGTATTTGTGCAAAGTTTGATCCAGATCCATCATTGTTTGAGTCCACAGTGCTCTTTGGATGTAGGTGAACTGCAACTCTGAAACTCAAGGTCAATGCCCACCAATCCCTTCCAGTATTTTCCCACCAAACCCTTGTAGTGTTTTCTGTCAGTCATGGGAGTTCTGTGTGCCAAGTTTGGTTCAATTCCATAATTGGTGGAGTTCAGAATGCTCTTTCATTGTGGGTGAACTATAAATCCCAACCAAATGACAAAATCATATTTTTGAGTGATGGTCACTCATTGGGTTGTGAGGTGTATTCTGTCCAAATTTGGTATCAATTGGTCAACTGGTTTTTGAGTTATGTCAATCCCACAAATTAACATTACATTTTTATTTATATAGATATAGAAATAGAGCAACAAAGAGACAATCCATTATGCAGCCTCCATAGAGACCAAGGATGCATCCATACCTGGCATGGGCCAACTTTTGGACTGCAACTCCCACAATTCCTAACAGCTTACCAGCTGTTAGGAATTATGGGAGTTGCAGTCCAAAACACCTGGAGAGCCGAAGTTGGCCCATGCCTGATCTATATTGTAGAATGAATGAAGTTTGGCACTCTTTTAACTAACTTAACCTGATGCTATGGAATCCTGCAAGTCATAGTGTGTTGAGGTAGTACCCGCACTCTGGCACATGACCTTGTAAAACTACAACTCTCACAATCCCGTAGCATTGAGCCATGGCAGTTTGAGTGGTGTCGAACTGCATCAATCTTGGAGTGTAGGTGTGCCCTTTGGGGGTCTGTTATCAAGTTGGAAAAATGACGACCACAAAACCCATAAGTGTTCCAAACTCCTCCAGAGGCAGTATGCACATCTTCCCACTACCCTCCACAGGCAACAGAGCCCATAGTTGTGGATGATGGGGAATGTAGTCCAACCTATGTGGAAGTTGCAAGCTTAGGATGACTGTATTGGAGCAAATGCTTGAACAGAGACTGATTGATGTGGCCTTCCTTTTTTTTCCAGGGGAGAAGCCCTACGCCTGCTCCCACTGCAGCCGTGCTTTTGCCGATCGCTCCAACCTGCGCGCTCACCTGCAAACCCATTCCGAGGTCAAGAAGTACCAGTGCGCCTCTTGCCTGAAGACCTTCTCCCGGATGTCCCTGCTCTTGCGGCACGAGGAGGCCGCCTGCTGCCTTCAAACCACCTGATCCAGCCTCTTGTGACTCTCCGTCCTTATTTTGGAAAGGTTCGGACCTTGGAAATGGAAGATCTCCACCATGAAACGTGGAATGATGGAGGAGATTGCAAACCCTACCTGGGAGACTGTGGGTTCTTGACTTCCTAGCAGATAACAGACTCCATGGCCCAGATATTTTATGCAGCAATGTTGGGATCTCAAAGGCTTTCGTAGCTGGAATCATTGAGTTGTTGTAAGTTTTTCAGGCTGTATGGCCATGTGGGTAGATGTTAGCTACCTTGAGTCCACATGGGGAGAAAGGCGAGATATCAATAAAGATAACGATAAATAATATGTACTATTGTACCCTTGGTCTAGATGAGAACGTAATAAAGATAAAGATGATGATTATGTTCCAGTAGCATTCTCTCCTGACATTTCGACTGCATCTGAGGCTAATGGCATTTCCAGAGGTTCTGTTGGCAGTGAAGCAAGTGGAATGTAATAATGTCCAGTGCGGGAGAAAGAACCTTTGTCTGTTAAAGCAAGTGTGAATGTTGCAATAACATTGAGTAGCCTCACAGCTGAAAAGTCAGTCAGTGAGGGTATCCTGGCCTCCATTGCCTGGAGGCATCCTCTATGGCAGCATTTCTCAACCTTGGGGTCGGGACCCCTGTGTGGGTCACAACAGGGGATGTTGGAGGGGTTGCCAAAGACCATCAGAAAACACAATATTTTCTGTTGGTCCTGGGGGTTCTGTGTGGGAATTTTGTCACAATTCTATTGCTGGTGGGGTTCGGAATGCTCTGATTATAGGTGAACTATAAATCCCAGCAACTACAACTCCCAAGCATCAGGGTCTATTTTCCCCAAACTCTACCAGTGTTCACATTTGGGCATATTGAGTATCCGTGCCAAGTTTGGTACAGATCAAATTCCCAGGACCCTATAGCATTGATTTTGGCAGTGAAAGTGTTGCCAAACTGCATTCACTCTACAGTAGAGATGTGTCCTTAGTGAAACTACAATTCCGAGAACTCTATAGCATTGATTATGGCAGTGAAAGTGTTGCCAAACTGTATTCATTATATATCAGAGGTGTGCCCTTAGTGAAATTACAATTCCCAGGACCCTATAGCATTGATTATGGCATCGAAAGCGGTGCCAAACTGCATTCACTCTACAGCAGAGATGTGTCCTTAGTGAAACTACAATTCAGGGCCCCACAGTATTGATTTTGGCAGTGAAAGGGTTGCCAAACTGCATTCACTCTACAGTAGAGATGTGTCCTTAGTGAAACTACAATTCCCAGAACTCTATAGCATTGATTATGGCAGTGAAAGTGGTGCCAAATGGCATTCACTCTACTGTAGAGATGTGTCTTTATTGAAACTACAATTCCCAGGACCCTTTAGCATTGATTATGGCAGTGAAAGTGGTGCCAAACTGTATTTATTATATATCAGAGGTGTGCCCTTAGTGAAATTACAATTCCCAGGACCCTATAGCATTGATTATGGCATTGAAAGTGTTGCCAAACTGCATGCACTCTACAGTAGAGATGTGTCTTTAATGAAACTACAATTCCCAGGACCCTATAGCATTGATTATGGCAGTGAAAGCGGTGCCAAACTGCATTCACTCTACAGTAGAGATGGGTCCTTAGTGAAACTACAGTTCCCAGGGCCCCATAGTATTGATTATGGCAGTGAAAGTGTTGCCAAACTGCATTCATTCCACAGTGTAGAAGTGTCCTATGTCACCTGAATGATTACAACCTGACAAAAATAACAGTTCACTCGTATCGTTTGGGGTGCCGAGGTGCGTAAATACGCTCTGAAGGAAACTGCATTGTAAACTGTGTTCTATTTTGAGCACCGGGACCTCTAAATCTGGCCGTGGCACCTGTCGCCGCGAGGTCCCGGGCAGGAAAAAATGTCCCCGGGTCTAAAATAAGCCCAAATGTTTTCCTTCTTCGTCTTGCGGCGGATGGAAAAGGGCCGATAAATATAACCCTGAGGAGGGAGGAGAGTCCGAATCCGGCCCTGACCCCTCTCTTGACCTGGACCGATGTCAAAGTGCATTCATTCTATAGCATAGATGCGCCCAGAGGAAGATGCAGACCTTGGTAAACTACAACTCACAGGGGATTCCATAGCATTGAGCCATGGCAGCTAAAGTAGTGTCAAACTGCATTCATTCTACAGCACAGATGTGTCCAGAGAAGGATATAGAACTTGGGAAACTACAGCTTTCGGGATCCCATAACATTGAGTCATGGCAGCTAAAGTGGTGTCAAAGTGCACCCATTCTATAGCATAGTTGCCCCAGAGGAGGATGCAGACCTTGGTAAACTACAATTCTTGGGGGATTCCATAGCATTGAGGCATGGCAGCCAAAGTGGTGTGGAGCTGCATTCATTCTATAGCACAGATGTGCCCAGAGAAGGATATAGAACTTGGGAAACTACAACTCTCATGATCCCATAACATTGAGCCATGGCAGCTAAAGTGGTGGGAAGCTGCATTCATTCTATAGCATAGATGTGCCCAGAGAAGGATATAGACCTTGGGAAACTACAACTCTCGGGGGATTCCATAGCATTGAGCCATGGAAGTGGTGTCACTTCCTATCGACTGTTAGGAATTGTGGGAGTTGTAGTCCAAAACACCTGGAGGGCCGGAGTTTGTCCAGTCCTGGTATAGAGGCACCTAGACAAGAATATAGACCTTGGGAAACTACGACTCTCGGGATTCCATAGCACTGAGCCATGGCAGTCAAAGATGCATCAAGATGGGTTAATTCCCCAGTGTGGATGCACCTTTGGTCTTGGAAGCGATGGCACAACGTGACCTTGTTTTCCTGGCTTTGCAAGGCAAGAGAGAATGTGCCGATCCGAAAGGGCTTCTCCCTTTGACGCATGGAAAAGCCGACCCCTTTCTTCCCCCATAAATACCAAAACCCTATTCATAGCCCTGCCTCTGCACTGACCGGGGCAGAAAATAGCCCTTGGGTTTCTATCTATACCCCTTTGGCCGCTCCGTTGCTTTCTATCTATAGCTTCTTGGCAGCCCGTAATGGAACTGACCGCGGGTGGCATTCTTGCAGGTGGAAAAACGAGTACATGGTGCTCTAAGGGTGCACCTACACCTGCAGGATGAATGCAGTTTGATACCACTTTAACTGTCACAGCTTAAGGCTATGAGATCTTGGGAGTTGTACTTTAGCAAAGCCTTTAGACGTCTTTATCCAAGTCCCAGAATCCCGAAGCATTGCGCTGTGGTGCTTAAGGCAGTATCATAGAATCATAGAATCAAAGAGTTGGAAGAGACCTCATGGGCCATCCAGTCCAATCCCATTCTGCCAAGAAGCGGGAATATTGCATTCAAAGCACCCCTGACAGATGGCCATCTAGCCTCTGTTTAAAAGCTTCCAAAGAAGGAGCCTCCACCACACTCCGGGGCAGAGAGTTCCACTGCTAAACGGCTCTCACGGTCAGGAAGTTCTTCCTCATGTTCAGGTGGAATCTCCTTTCTTGTAGTTTGAAGCCACTGTTTCGCGTCCTAATCTGCATGGAAGCAGAAAACAAGCTTGCTCCCTCCTCCCTGTGGCTTCCTCTCACATATTTATACATGGCTATCATATCTCCTCTCAGCCTTCTCTTCTTCAGGCTAAACATGCCCCGGTCCTTAAGCCGTTCCTCATAGGGCTTGTTCTCCAGACCCTTGATCATTTTAGTCGCCCTCCTCTGGACACATTCCAGCTTGTCAATATCTCTCTTGAATTGTGGTGCCCAGAATTGGACACAATATTCCAGGTGTGGTCTAACCAAAGCAGAATAGAGGGGTAGCATGACTTCCCTAGATCTAGACACTATGCTCCTATTGATGCAGGCCAAAATCCCATTGGCGTTTTTTTTTTTTGGTGTGTTTTGTGTGTGTGTGTGTATGTGTTTATATGTGTGTATATATTTGTGTACATGACATTGTTGGCTCATGTTTAACTTGTTGTCCACGAGGACTCCAAGATCTTTTTCACACGTACTGCTCTCGAGCCAGGCATTGTCCCCCATTCTGTATCAAACTGGATTAATTTGATGGTGTAGACCAGGGGTCCTCAAACTTTTTAAACAGACGGCCAGGTCACAGTCCCTCAAACTGTTGGAGGGCTGGATTATAATTTGAACAAAACATGACTGAATTCCTATGCACACTGCACATATCTTATTTGTAGTTCAGAAAACACTTTAAAACAATACAATAATCAAAATGAAGAACAATTTTAACAAATATAAACTTATTAGTATTTCAATGGGAAGTGTGGGCCTGCTTTTGGCTGATGAGATAGGTTTGTTGTTGTTATTGTTGTGTGTTTTCAAGCAGTTTCAGACTTAGGTTGACCCTGAGCGAGGGCCAGGTAAATGACCTTGGAGGGCCGTATCCGGCCCCCGGGCCATAGTTTGAGGAACCCTGGTGTAGACACTCACGGATTCAGTATTTAGATCTGGGTCCCTTCTCCAAGTTATTTCATCATCTATATAAATAAAAATGTAATGTTCGTTTGTGGGATTAACATAACTCAGAAACCACTGGACAAATTGATACGAAATTTTGACACAATACACCTAACAGGTTCATCACCCCTAAAAATACAAAAAAACAAAAACAAAACCCTCAGCAGAACAGACTTAAAAACTCCAAAAATACACTATATATATAAACACACACACACACTCTCATATACATATATACATGTACACATACATACACATACGTATATATATATACCCAAGCACACACATACATCTACATACACACATATATACGTATACACATGCACACACAAATATACACATGCATACATATATACATATATATAAACACAAATATGCATAAAGACAAGCACACACATATACACAATATACATATGCACTTATAAACACACAAATATATACACATCTACCCACACACATATGCACACACATATATACACCCATACATACCCCTCCACACACATATTTATCTATATCTATATCAATACACACACACACTCACACACACATATATACACAGATACACAAATATATCCACACATATAAACACATATATACACACACACAAAACACATATATACAGATTGGGCCACAGCAACGTGTGGCAGGCTAGTGGACAACTAAATATATTCCAAATGCAGGGAAAATCCCAAATACCAAATCAGTAGTATTATAATTAATATATTAGTATTATTACATTACAATATTATTATATTCTAGCCATCCCCTGCCACACGTTGCTGTGGTCCAGTCTGTATATATATGTTTTGTGTGTGTGTATATATGTGTGTATATATTTGTGTATCTGTGTATAT